TGTCTATTTACTTGGGACCACGCTGTGCACCTCACTTATCTCCACCATATCGGGCCAGAACCATCCTAAGAGTTAAACATTTTCACACATATCCTGGTACTGTGATGCAACAACAATGGAAACTTCCAGTGAAAGAGCAAGTCTATCCACATCTGCTCATGTGATGCTTATAGGTCATATAGGTGACTTATGCCTATATGTTACTCTGGATGGGAGAAGTGAAACAATTGCTTCATTTGTGGTCTGGTGGAACACTTGCACTAATCAGTAAAGGTGGCAAAGCTATCGGTTCTAGACAATGGTTCAGCAGATGACAGCCAACTAATTGCACTTGTACTCTGCCAAGTAGCACAGTACAGAAGGTTATTGGTATCATCTAATGGTTCAGCAGGTCCAGGACAAACAGTAGCTTGTATTGGACATTATATCAAATTGGCGAGAAAACTGACAAAGCCAAAGTTGGGTCTGGTCACTGACTTGGGAAAGCACAGTCCACTGCTTGCATCAAAGAATATAATGGCCATCTCATCTCTTTCAGCCATTAATATGTGGCATGTCAGAGGAGGATGAGGACGCACCAATTGAGGGAGAAAGAGCTGAGAGCACTTATCGGAAAACTTAATGACTGAAATGGCATTAAAATCCTTACTTTCTGAGCTCCTAAGTGAATTTTTGGATGAGAAACATTTTAAAGATTCAGTCCTGTGATCTAGTTGATTGATGAAAAATTTATGAATCATGCTTTCCTGTAATTACTAGAGTTTTGCCTTTATATACATTGGATGTATGCCAATTCTAAATATAGTGAGGAGGTTATACTTCCTTTGAGTGTATATTGAGATACGGTTGTGACAACATTAATACTGTCTGATTAGTCTTTTTATTGAAAAGTTTTAGTTTCTTCAGTGATTATTTATTTTGTTATTCCTGAAATAAAAATAAGTTGTGTTTGTTGGCTCTTAAATGGCAATATCATTGTTATGGAGACTACACTTTGGAAGATAACACGAGAAGGTTATCAAAGTAATTCTCATGGGAGCTGTAAGAAATGTGTTATGAAACACTAGAGTTATTTGACAATTTGTAATGGGAACATATTCATATAACAATATATGTATGTAAATGGATATATGTGTGTGGTTTTACACACATATGAATATATTCATAAGTTCATGGGTGTTATATCACATGAAGGAATCAATTATAAAATAAGACAAGAGTAAACAATAAGGGCATTGAGACAAACGATTTGGTCTTGGTGATAAAGATTTATAAGTATGAGGTCAACTGTGATAACTGTCCTGGAAGTTGTTTCTTGAAAATACTGTGCATCTGTTATTTCCATTAATGCTAGAAGAGACTCTTTCGATATCGGCATTGAAATATTCAACAGGTAGTGAATGTCCATGAAAAAATAATCAACAGACTTACACAAAATCTGAGAGAGAGAACATAGTGTTTTTAATGTTTCTCATGAAGAGGAGTTCAAAAGGTATTTTGATTGAATCAAACTGGAATATTCATGGATGGATAGATTAGGAGTAATAAATAAAATTAGCAGACAATAGTTTAGATATCATAGTAAATGTAAACTTGGTATGTAGTGTTGTGATAAAATATTTTCTATCATGAATGTTAAAATATATTTATTAGACTATAATTTTACGACATATTTTATTAATCTTGTTTCTCTACAAACTGAAGTATTAAAACATGAAAATGTAGGCTGTAAATTTAGTAGGAAGAAGCAGAAAGTATCACCAGCATATTGGAAACTTTGAAAATTGCACCAAAAATCAGTAGTAAACTTGTAACTGAAAAAATATTGTTTTTTAAGTTTGTAAAACGTTTGTACATAGATCATTATTTGTAATAACCGTTATTGTATATTGTGTTATTGTTTGTATATTAAAATATATTTGTATTAAAGAAAAACTGTGTATATCAATCTTGTTGGCATGTGTCATAAATTGGATACATATCTACATTTATTTCTTTTTCTAAATCTAAATTATCAATTAACTAAGTTTCAGGCTACTCGAAATTATAATACGTTACGTAATTAATTGGAGACTTGTCCGGGATAAATTGTAATACCTAACATAAGAATGAGGTGAAGAATTAGCAGAACGTTTCACTCACTAAGAAGAAAACTTTTCTTTGTTATATAGTGCGATATGTGATGTCAGTTCTGATGGGAATGCTATATTCTTAAACCAAAGAAAAACTTTCCAGAACTTGGCTCCTCTTGACTGTTGGCCACATCTCTGGATGCCAGAAGTAGAACAGGTGCTCATGGAATGCTGGCTGCCATTGTAATGATTAAGTCACAAGTCTCCTATTCTGTTTCCACCATCCTGATGGTGGTGCAGAATACCCAGATGGCTAGAGGTCCATCTCTTTCTCCACCATTATCACTCTAGTAGTTTAAGGTCAATAAGATCATCTCTCCTTCAGTGGCAGGAATTCTGACAGTCAGCAGCTTCCAAGGTACCTGCAGTCAAGAGATGCAGGAAACTTTTGTCCAAATTATCTAAGATGGTAACAAATTGTTTCATGCTAGAACAGATTCTAGTGCTGAATAGGGACTGCCAGGAAATGGCCATTGAGTAGACCAAGGCTTGGGCTCTGTACGTCACAGAAACTGAATAGCTGCAGTAATGCCTCAAATACAGTTCAAGGAAGAAATGTAATATCTGTGGGTCAAGCTGCCTCACACAAAGAGAGCACTTGTGTAAGCCAGAAAAATCCTTAAAATACCCAGACCAGCCAACTTCAAAACAATTGCAATCACAGAGCATCTTCTGGTGTGGGTAAGGTAATAGGGAAGAAACCTCAACAAATCTTTTTATAAGTTGTATATTTTGGATATTTTATTGAGGTGGGAGTTTCCAAATAGGTTTATTGTTAAATATAATACCTAAACATTTAATTGTGTTCACGAGGCTAATGGGCATTTTATTTAGTTTAAATTAAATTGTGTTAGATATTCACGACTGTTTCATTTAAATTTGATATGAGAGTTATGATTTAGATAGCTATAAAGTGCAAGTGTTAAAGTTAGTGTTTTTATTGTTGCGTAGTACAGGTGTTATGAATTGACGTCATGTTACTCGAACCTTCTGAATTTTTCTCGTTGCTTTAAGTGATTATTGTTACATCATAACGTCTCGTAGTTTGTAGACAGTTCTAGGCCTCAGTCGGACAATATATATTTAGGCAACCAAGTTAGTGCAAATAAGTGAAAGTAAGACAAATTTAATGAGGGATATAGTCAAAAAGATCTATACCGTGTTTGTATTTTTGAACATAAGAAGTGTATTGTGACGACTTTTAAAGCGTAATAATCAGATTGTATTCTAATAATAGAGTAGAGAAGAATAACTTTGTCATTTGGGTTCTAAATTAATGGAACCAGCCAGTGAGGACTCTTGATGAAAAGTTTATTATTTAAAGCACTGGATACAACTGTGGTGATTAACTGTGTAATGAAAATTTGTATATACGTCTGACTTATTTTGAATGTATTATTATTATTATTGTTGAAAGTTATCGCCAACAAGTCACACACGCATACTGTAAAGAATCCTGTCCATACTGATACCTAAAAACCTAACAATTTCCTAATGTCTTAGGAATTCTTTGTTTAGTCTC